AGGGAGAACTGTGCTTGGGATGTATTCAAAACAGAATAAAACACAAACAAAAAGACAATGAAAATCCTAAAACAATTAGTTTTCCTTAGAAGTTGGAGTTTATCCTTCTAGAGAAATGTCTCTGGAAATCATTACTCCTGTCCAATGAAAATGGATTTTTTTTTCTTATTTTGCAGAAAGCATTCTTAATATATTTTAAAACATTTCTTCTTTTCATTACCAGTTCTTATACTTCAGGGGCATGATGTGTCTATTATTCTCCAGGGACTTATTATGTTGATTGACTTGATATTGTCACCTCATCCTTTTCCTAAGTTTTTAAAAATTTCTGTCCCCAACTTTCTTCTTTGCCTCGATGTCTATTTGATGCTGTATTTCTTCTATGTTCTGTTCTAACTTGCCACTGCGCCTTTTCTCCTCCCTTGTCTTCTGAACTCTGCCAGCCATGTGTCACAAGTTACTATTTTCTCATCATCTCTCTCTTATGCCTGTGGTTTTCACTCTTAGAGGCAATTCCTTTGCTGCGCCTTTATAGAAATTCATGTCAGAATATTAAAACAATTTTTCAACTTCTCCACAGCAACATTTCCTTTTCAAGTTAAAATGTTCAATCACTGGTTCATTTCAGCTCCTCTCAAGGACTTTCTTGTTTTTATATTGATACTGTGCCTATATTTAGCTAATCAAATTAATGAAGTCAACATATTTTTAATCAAAGTGAGAAGCTGAAAGAATGTCCCAGGATTCCAAAGACTTTTTTGTTGTTGTTGTTGCCACCAAAGGATCAAACGCTATTTGCTATCCATGCTTCTATCTAATCACACTTCTCCTGACCTCCTAAAGAGGTTTACAAGCCATGTTCATCCCTCAGGGACCCAGGGGAGGAAGGGATGCTAGCTCCTCAATGCAGTGTCAGCAGGTACCCTCAGCTGACTCTTGTGATGCCCATGCTTTTTCCTTTCCTGTGTCTTTTGTATTCAAGGACCAATTCTTGTTTTGAATGCATTCTACCAAGGAAAATAAATTTCCCATTTCAAAATGAAATTCTCACTTTTCTGAAGTACAAGTTTGTTGGTAAAATCTTAGAGAAGATGTCTTTGGGACCATTCTCAGTTCTCCCTTCCCCCAAAACTGTAAAACCAGTGACATCGACATTCAATCTTGGCAGTTTTAAGAGCTTGTCTATGTATTTGGGAAATGGCGGGTTGTCTATCATCTGATTTGTTGAAAATAGAAATGTCAGAGCTTTTTCTTTTGCCCTCTCATTGTGGCTTTGGAATATTCTTTTGTGGGACAGAGAGAAAGCTGCAGATTCCAGATCATGTTCACATCAGCTTTAGTTCATATAGCCTGTGGTACCAAGCATACAGTATAGTTCATTTGCAGTTTCTAAAATGTTCTACAAGCTTAGAGACATTTTTCTATGAATTACCACAAGTGAAAACAGACACCCATTTAAAATAGTTAATGCTGACTAAATTTTCACTTGCCTACAAACTATGTTCTCATAATGTGTCAATTTTATTTTTTATTTTGTTTTGTTTGTTTGTGGGCCCTCTTTCTTCTTTTCTCTTCAAAGCTCATTTATGTGGAATATTCCTTTACACTGTTAGAAGATATCACTGTGATTGGTTTAATAAAAAACTAAACAGCGAAGAGCTAAGCAGGATTTTGGGGGCAGAGAAAATGCTGAGAAGGGAGGAGTCCCAAGAAGACACCAGGACTCAATGGAAACAGCATGGGCGGTACAAGGTAAAGGTAATAAACCCATGAGATAAAAAGTAAATTGATAGAAATATGTTCACTTAAGTTATGAGAGCTAGATAGAAACAAGCGTAAGCTATTGGCCTAGTTTTCATAATTAATAATAAGTCTCCCTTCTGTCATTTGTGAGTTGGCGGCCCAAAGAAAAGTCCATCTACAGCTCATATGTAAATCCACTGGAGCAGAGGCTCATAATCTTTCTGCATCTAACTTTTATGCATCTTAATGACTATAATAAAATTAGAAAATATTCATTCTATAGGCCTAAAACACACCATAATTGCAATTATCATATAATTTCTTTTATTGATCAATTATTTTGTGGAATCATTGAACAATAAGCTTTACAAGGGCAAAGTTAGCACTTTCCTTCACTATAGTAACCCTTAACACAGTACAGGTTGTTCCTTTAGTGTCTGTTCTATAAATATAGTGTTGTCTTTACTGCACTAAATACTTCTACCATATGTGCATAGTAGCCTTGAGACCTTCAGTTTCAGAAAATTTTGAATGAGTTTGTTTTCAACTAATGCAAAGTACCAAGCTATTCAAAAAAATTTTATTTTATTAATAAACTTATTTTGGTTTCTCTTATTGTAATTAATAATATAACTATACAGTAATGGAGATACAAATGAGAAAAAAAGAGAGAACACTAGGTTTGAAAAGAAAGTTTTTATTCCTCCAAAATAAAAATAAAAAAAATCTAAGTCCACAGACAAGAAAACTAAAATGCTGTTCCATCTTTTATCTCTTTTTTCTTCTTGTCTCCAGTGGGTGCTGTGGCTATGGAAGAAAGCTGAAGTGCAACTGTGTGTTTTCTTGTGTTCTTTTTGCTTAGAGTTAAGAAATTTTAACTTCCACTCTTTTCCATTTCATAACCATAAAATCAGACCACACAAGATGAACCAAACATGAGGAGACAACACTAAAACTTCTCAAAGGCAAATTAACTTATTAAGACAGGAATGGGGTGTGATAAAGATATCCCATTATTAATGATACAGGGAGAAGCATATCTATAGGACACAACAGGATCATGATGCTCATGAATACATAGTAGCCGAGGTTGCTTTCAGAAAGTCTTTCAGTTCTGTAGCATCCCTGGCCAAGGAAATTCTGCCTGTCTGAGGAGCTGAGAGTCAATGGTTACAGGAGAAGACAGTCGCTTTTGTTTAAGAGTGTACCCCTTGGAGGTCAACCATACTCTATTGGACGGTCTCAAACGCATGAGGACAAATCTGTCTCAGTGGGTTATTACATTAGTTACGTTTTTATTTTTGTGACAAAAATCCCATAACCCTGGCAACTTACAAAGAAAGTGTTTAATTGGTATAGTGGCTTCAGACACTGACAGTTCACGAAGCCATGATGGCAGGAACATCTGAGAACCCACATCTCAAACTACAAGCAAAGGACTGAGAACACACCAGGGGTGACAAAAGATTGCTAACTGTAATCTCACCTCCAGTGACAGGATTCAACTAACAAGGCACGAAAAACTTCGACTAATCCTTAATCGTTCCTTAACAGTTCCAACAGCTGGGGACCAATTATTCACATATGTGAGCCTCTGGAGGCTGCAATCATTAAAACTACTATAGTTATGAAAAATAAAGTCAGAGCATATAAAATTGAGGTGGGGAGGGTGGATTATGCTGAGTGAAGGGTATGACAAGTGGATAATATTATAATATATTGTATGTGTGTGTGAAATCCTCAATTATACTAAAACTATATATAAATGTTATATTAAAAACAGATGACAATGCTAACCATATATGAGGAAATCTGTATTTTAGCTAATTCTAATAACCACCCCTTGACTAAACAGTTACTACCACTTGTAAAGTTTACCATTCACCTCTGAGAAAGACAAGTGTGCTGAGTGGGGTATTAGGCTTCGTCAGCCTTTTTCTTTCCATGTTCTTCAAGTGATTAACAGTAGGTGGGCTTATCTGCTGCATGGCTGCATATGCCCTTTGAAGCTGGCAAGGTGTATGGTCTGGTGGCTCTTACTGAGCAGATACCTCTTTTATTCTTACCATTAATTCGATGTGGAACCAAATCTTTTCATTAGTACACACGCTCAACAGGAGAGAGTCTAACAAGTCAGGGACACTATCAAATATTTATTTATCACCAAACTTTTGCATTTACTTTTGTCCAAGTCAAAAGGTACAGGAAGAGATAGAAGGTTTTCGGTAATATTTAGGCCTGGCTTGTTGCATTAAAAATGTTTTCATGCTGCATTTACAACTGACAGTGCACTTATTTTAATATGAGTACATTTGTTATGTAAGACATAATTATGTAAAATAAAATGTCTAAATTATGCTAGAGACTAAGTTCCTTTGGCAGATGAAAGACTACCACACTTACAAAGGCAGCACATACATCCCCATGTGCATAAACAGCACATACATACACATGCGGGTGCACACACATGCGTGCACACACGCACGTGTGCGCTCACACGCACATACACACATCAGAACCTCTTTCTTCCAGTCCTCTGTTACGGAGTACAGAGGCACTTCCTGTATTATTTGAGGAGAGTTTTACTAGACTCCTCTTTCTACCTGTATCTTTCCATACCTCATCCATTTGCTCCTTACCTGCTCCCTATCCTCAATTAGTAAAGATTAGGAAAACCAAGGTTCATAGGAATTGGTCGATAATACTCTCTATTGTCTTTGTATTTATTAAATGTGTGACTTCATTTTCTGAGGCTTGGAATGTAGGAGGAGTCACTACATATACTTTCTGTATGTGTTTGAATCATTGGAGATTAAGAACAAATATTCAGGATTGATTTGTAGGCTAATAAAGTAAACAAACCTGTCCCAGGAAAATGGAAGGAGGGGTATTGAAGAAGCCTAAGCCCTTCATTACTATCTATCATTTGTCTGTCTATCTATCTATCTATCTATCTATCTATCTATCTATCATCTATCTATATCTACCTATTTATTTTTTAATGTTGGCTAAAGATGAAAACCTAGACTGACTGCAGCCCTCTCTTCACAATTTACGACCTCCTCAAATCACTACGATAATCAGGTTCAAAAATTGTTGTTGTCTTTTTTCACCGGTCTTTAGCTGTTCAACGCCAGATGCAAATAAACACCTCCATCCATGACCAGATAGCAGATTCAAGGGACAGGAGAAGGTTGCCATACTGAGCTCCCTGTTGTCGCCTTCTGGCTGGACAGTCGGTGCCAAATAGCGCCCTGGGAAACAAACAGCAATAGAGAACTCGACAGATGCGCTTGATGCATGTACAGAATCATAGCTTGACCGAAAAGGAGAGTGGAGGAAGGCGACAGGCTGAGAGTCTGCAGCTGGGAGCTACAGCAATGGAACCAGCGGCTATGTGTGCGCACACAGGTGCCACAGGCCCGGCACCCAGAGCTCTGTCTCTGCAGCCTCTCTGCTCAGCACAAGAGGCAGCTTGCTGAACCTGCAGCCGCGGCAGAGCGTGGGTATTTTCAGCCACAGACACCGGAGGAAGAGCCAAAGGAAAGGGCGCGAAGGGGGAAGCATGGAGTGGCAGGGGATTAGGGCAAAACCCACAGCCTCATCTCGGAACTCCTCGGGTGAGAACCTGTACTCGGCTGCTTTGCTCCTCCCTTCCCTTCCCAACTCACGGTGATCATCTTCGTCTCCCCTCCGCATCCCTGCCCCCCTCCCCTCCCGGCTTTCTTTGCTCTCCCTCCTTGCCGCGTGCCTGCTCCCCTCCCCCTCGCCTGGCTGCTCTGGGCAGCAGCAGCCTCAGCAGCCCCGGAGATGGGCAGAGAGCGCGCGGGGCGCTGCAGCTCTAGAGCAGCCGCTCTCCCCGCCCCCGGTGCCCTGCGCCCCCGCCACCGCTCTCGCCGCCTGGCTGTCCCCCGACTCCAGCTCTGCTTCTAGGACAGCGCCGCCACCGCCACAAGCCCTCGTCCCGCCCGCGCTGCGCTACCCTCACGTGCCCTGGATGGCGCTTTCCCTTGTCGGGATGGAATCGGTGAGTACCAAAGAGTCCGGGGTGTTAGGCACAGGACTGAGCTCCCACAGAACATTCATAGACGCCAGAGGCACCCCAACCACCTGCTGGGTGTTCTCCTGGCACAGGGTGTCCGGCAGGTCTCCGGGGACATTTGGTTTTAACTCCACCAGCCGGGAACCTGAACCCTTTCTCTTTCAGAGATAAATGCTTGTAGATCTTAGTCCCTTGTCACCCTTTGGCCTTCTGGCTGCTATCCTCACTCCCGATGCAGATAGCCCCTGCCGGGCTTCACTTCAAGCAGGGTCGTTGCTGCCCTCCTTGTCCCCACATCTTTCTTGAATTCCCTCTTCTGCCGCGCGCTGTAGCGCGGACCCAGGTTTCTCCACGAAGTCCTCCCCTGACCCGCCTCTCCTCAAAGCCTGACCACAGAGCCCCGGGTCCCGCTGTCCCGCTCCTTCTCAGAGTGATAGTGAATTCTGACCTCATTCTCTCCATATGATGCCGCCTCCCAGCTTTTCCGACACTCACCTCAAAACTGACAGTGACACCAGGTGATCCTGCCTTCTGTGTATTGTGTCTCTGCACCTGGTCTGCTTTGGGGATGATCAAGCATGAAAGGAAAGGGACAAAAAACAGCAAACCTTGTGGGACTAAACTTTTTGTCATTGTTTCAAAGTGCATAACTATTTACCTTTCTTAGACTCCTTGTCTGCAGTCTTGTTGGCTGAGCACGGGGAAAGGAACCTTCTTTTACCTGTTTTTCCGGATTCCTTTGGTCTTCCTTTCAGGTCTAGAGCAGAACACCTACGTAGCCCAGTTGTGAATCTCCATCAGCCAAGCCACCCAAAGCTCATCAACTCTTGAGGTTAAGGAGATTTTTCTTGAGAGAGGACAGGGTGGCGGCAGAGTTGCCCTTCGGAATCTTTTTTTTTGAGATTTCAATGATTCGAAGCCCTTATGTTTGTGTTTAGTGCCTGAGGGGGAACCATTGTACAGGCGACCCCGACATCATGCTCTTCAGGTAGGGTGTCATGTCTTGTCTTCCCCAGGATTTCTGTAGGAGCTTCCCTGAGTACAGCAACCCTTTCTGCTGAAAGCAGGTTCGGCGTTTGTTCGTATATGGTATGAGTTAAAACAGGCATTGTGTTCAGTGAAGGAATCTGACTGAGGGGGTAAGGAAAAAGGGAGAGAGTTTCAACACTACATTTTTTTTTATCAAGATTCCTGTGTACTTATGTCGTAAAATGAGGCCGCACATGACTTAAAATTTACACTCAAACAACTTGTAAAATATTAATTTGGAGGTGACATTTTATTCTGCACAACTCCTGAATAGGGTTAACGTTTGAAAAGTACAGTTACGAGTATTCGAAAAAAAATGTAAGAAACTTTCCAAAGATACCTGTTTAAGCATGGGCTATGTGAATATAAGTTTCTTGGGATATCTGTAAGCAATTTCAGGGGAGTAAGACTTGAATGGCCACCCTCACCTTTGCAGTTAATGGAGGGGATGTGCTCTGTCCTCTTCTTGAAGAGGCAATCCTCACTTTACAAAAATAGAAAAGGGAAATTCAAGCAATTGGATGAGGGGTTTATTTAGTGAGGACTGCCTTAAAAAGTCCACCCTTTGTATTTTCAGGCATTTTGCTTCATCGTGTTTCCTTTGTAGCCCCTTGTCTTATGTAGTCTGGGCAGGAACCCAGTGTCCAGCTGTGGTTTTTAGGAAATGTGTTCAGCTGCATCAAAACTCACAGGGGCCATGAGTACTAACTTTACGCTTGGTTTTCTAAATATGGGAATTTGCTTATCTAAAAGTAGTGTTGGACTAAGAAGAATACTTGAAACCATGTATGTAAGCTTGTGATTGCTTCAGGTGTTCCTGTATGATGTGATGGGTGGACAATAAAGGAGAGGGAAGCTAAATCAAAGGATCTTTTAACCTTCCCTCTGGATATACTTTTGTGTAGTGATGGGGTAATTTGTATGTACAGCAGAACAAAAAATAGTCTTCACTAAAAAGAGCCATCACAATTGACCAAAGTACAGCAAGGAGTAATGCTGCCTGCTCTGTTTTTGTGATCAGCACAAGTTCAAATCAATGTGTTCTAACATAATTCTAAACTGTGTCACAATATTAAAATTGTTGCAGAATTATCTATGAGCATGGAAATTAATTTGTCATAAAGTATGGCAGAGATTTTAAGCGTTTGTATAAAGAACTTCAAGACTCGCCTGGATTTAAAGTTACTGTAGTTAGTAAAACTATGTAAAACAATTAAATATAACAGATGAGGAGACAGGTATGCCGATGATGCCTGGTGCATTGTGGAATATGTAATGTTCTTAATTAGGTGCTACTAAGAGGACAGGTCTAAAATAAATATTTCCCTTGGAAATACATATTAACAATTGTGTGAGTGACATAGATATTTCATCAACAAGTTGTCATTAGTCGAATGCTTCATGCAAATTATTTTTTTGAGAGTGCAAGGTAAAGAGAGAGAAAGGCTGAGGGAAAGGAAGCATGGAGCAAAAGCATAAGAGCTGAATAGTGACGTGAACCCATTACTTAAAGAAAGAGAACTGCGTACAGTTCCTATTATGGTGGGAACAGCTGTTTTCCAACTTGATTTTTTTAGAAGCCTTCCTAATTTCAGGAATGAAAATGCATTTTTCTTTTTTAATGAAGTGGTTAAAAAAATTTAAATTCTTTCACAAAATTTGAGAGTCAAAGGCAAATTCACATAAACAATCTAATTAAACTAAATTCTAGACAAATTTAAAACCAAAATTTGGGACAATGAATATATAAACTAATACCTAATTTACAATGTCTTGTGCTGGCTTATTTATGTGTTAGTGGATGCTTCTTTCATATATATATATATATATATATACACTTTAATTCACAGTAGTCTATATATTATAACATCCAAATTTTATGAGGTCACAAACCTACCAATAGCAGGAATAGCAAGTCATTAAATAAGCATTCAAATTTTTTTCTTTCTAACCTCAGTCTATACAGTAATATATTTAACAACAAGCCTTTCCAGGGAACAAAATAGTGATCATTTCAACCAAAGTTTCACAGTTTTCTAAGCTGTGTGATTATGATTCCTTCGTAAATAAGCATTTTCTCTGATCTCTTGGCATGCGCCTGTAATTCTAATATTTGGGACGCTGAGGCGGGAAGGTCATATGTTCAAGGTCAACCTGGGCTGCAGAGGGAGTGGCTCTCTCCCAACAACTAAACAAAGGCACACACAAGCAAAGACTTTGAGATTCTGTGGTGTGACTTGAGTCTGCTTGAAATATACTTTGATTTGTTTAGTTGAAATGATTGATAGAATTTTGATGTTGATTAGGGATTTGAGGGGTGTTCCATTTCCATTATTTTAGTTATGATTTACCTAAGGCTCCTGAGTACTAGATTAAGAATTAGAATCCAAGTTTCCTCTACCAGTGTGTTGTCTATCTTTCTATGGCATTAAAACTGGCCCTCTCATTGGTAATACAGGATGATTCCGTTTCAGTGTTAAAGAAAATATGAAGTTAAACACAACAAAAGAACCTTTCTGCTTCAGAGCCCATCTCAGTGCTTAAACTTTCATCTCCACAGTTGAAGGCAACCACATTTCCTGACACTCTTTTGTCACTTTATTCTTATACCTAGAAAACATTTAAAATTAGAACATAACTAGGCTACCTAAAACATTTCCTATTGTATCTTTCTTTTTTTTTCATTATCAAGTATGCACTCATACAGTGTAAGTTTCTTTTATAATAATAGTATACCACAAGTATTTCCCATCTAATTCTTATAAACAGTTGATTGGAAGATATTCTCAAAGTAGATGCTAGCTTCTTCAAGCAAGGAACAGAACTGGACTCGTAGTTTCACCGTGTGTTTACTTAACCTTTATTTAACCACAAAGCGAGTTTACACATCTCTGTGCTTATTTTTCATTGTGATGTTTGCCTCCCATAGACTAAGAGGCTTGGATAGTCAGTGAAGAAAAATGTGTTTCACCAAGCTCAAAATCACATCTGAAAATCCTGGCACCTGTAAATTTCTCTTCACCGACAGGAGGCAGTGGAGAAAGGGTATATCGATGAGGAGCTGCCATTATTACTGGCTAAATAATAAATTGTCAGATACATCCCTGGACGTGGTGGATCACCAGTGTCATCTTCTCAAAGAAAACAAATGACTGAGTAGATGACTCTGTTTTATCACATGAAGCACTATTGCATTATCTGAATGTGGCTGGATTGGAGACGGTTAGGAGAAGCATGGTGTCTTGCTCAACAGTTTTCTTTCTTTCTCTCTTTTTTTTTTTTGAGTTCCTTGTTAAAGGAACTTGCCTTTGAGTTCTTTAAGATGCAGATTTGTCTAATAGGAGAATTGCATTTCTAAGGTTTTCATGACCTAATGTCTTTTCAGTTCAATTCACCCTTCATTAACTGAGATCTTACTATACTGTGAGATCTGAGGTGATGAATACAAATAGATGAAAGAACATGACATAGGCGCTGACTTCAAACATATTGCAGTTTAGCGGGAGAGGAAGCTTATAAATGATAAAGGATTGTGAAGCTTCCTGCCCCTAAGGTAAGGCAGTCCTATCTTCCTGAACAGACGACCCAAGAAAAATTAGTAAAGAACACAACTTAAGCAAATCTTCATTGAATTTCATTGAGGGAGGAGAGAAGCCATTGCTAAGGGTTTATATGAAAATAATGTATTTCTTAAAAGCTTGTGATTTTGTTGCTACCTCTATTTAAATATAATGTCATGTCAACAAAATTCTGACAGTACAGATATTTATCAGAAATATATCTGCTTATTTATGATTCTTACAAATAAACACATTACATGATTAGGTTATAAGGTAAGTTTCCAAGGGAAATGTAGCTAATTTGTATACTTTCATTAGAGATTAGAATTGCCCACTTTGTCTTTTAGTAAGCATTCACAAGAAAGTGAGTAACTGTGGGGCAAGAGCTATAAATAA